CCACATTTTCAGTTTTTCCCAATTGACTTACTTATATTTTTTTATTGATTTTTAAATTACTGCATTTTTTTTTAATTGCAGTAAGTTTTTACTGATTTTACACCTGGGTTTTAGTTCCCAGGTTTCCAACCAGATGTGGGGGCGGGGTGGCAGTGGCTGCATGGGGGCCGGGGTGGCTGGATCCACTGCCGGGGGGGCGGGGCTCCTGGCTCCGACCCTAGGAGGGGCTGCAGGAATTGCTCCCAGGGTGGGCAGGTCCCAGGTACACCCCAGTGGCTCTGACTGCAGCCCTGCCCCAGGTGCTGGGAGCTGCAAGCCGTGCTGTGGGGGGCAGGGACAGCAGGTGGGAGAGCCTGGCCCTGCTCCCTGCAGCAGGCACTGCACCTGTTGGCTGTTCCCAGGGCTGCTGCAGCAGGGGCTGGGATGAGTGGGAACAAGTGGAACCTCAGGGGGCATGGGACACAGCACAGCGTGTCCTCACTCACCCCAGCCCCTGCTGCAGCAGCCCCAGGAGCAACTGATACCACCTGCCTGCACCACGGCATGGCACAGCCCAGGGACTGGGGGGAGTAGGGACAAATGGAGCCTTGGGGGGGTGTTGAGGGCACAGTGCAGCCCAGCAGCTGCAGGCAGCTGGTGTTGGTTGCTCCTGGGGCTGCTGCGGCAGGGGCTGGGGTGAGTGTGGAGAAGCTGCACAGTGCCCTGTGCCCCAGAGGGCTCCACTTGGTCCCACTCACCCCAGCCCCTGCTGTAGCGGCCCCGGAAATGGCCGATGCCAGCTGCAGAAGGAACTGTAAGTAGGTGCGGGGCATGACTCTGGGGGCACTTGCCCCCAGGAAGACCCCAGCGCAGCCCCTCAGCCCACAGCCCTCCCAGGGGGTACGTAGCAGCAAGAGCTGTGCCCCCCCCGCCCTGCACCCGCTGACTCCCCTCGCTTTACTCCCTGCTGCAGCCCTGGGAGCGGCCAATGGGCTGCACTACGCCCTCCCCCCCCCAGTCCCAGCCTTACTCCCTCTTCCTCACCGCTGATTTTTTTTTTCCCCCTTTTATTTTTTTTCTTTTCCCCGATTTTAAACCGATTTCCCCTTCCCCTCCCCCCAATTTCATCCCAGTTTTTAGGTTTTGAAGATAAACCCTCAAAATTCCCAGATTTTTTAAATAACTGAAAATGTGGAACACTTGTATATAATTTTTTCTATTTTCTTTATCCAAAGACACAAAATCCAGGTGCTACAGTGGTTGCCTTTAACAGCTATTAGTGTTTTCCATAAAGGAATTGTCTGAACCTGCTTGAGTTACTGCTGGCCTTGACTAGCAGATTGTATTCTGCTTTCCCATGCTACTGCATATTGATTTTTATGTTGAGCACTTCCGTTTATACAAGCTGAAGCACGTATTATTCCTTACTTAGGTTTATACTAGGTCCCCAGTCTGTACCTGTCATGGGGTGTTTCAAGAGTACTGTGGCCAGCAAACGTGTTACATGACAAATAAGCACATCACTTGAGCTTCAGTAATACTGGTCAGTGGCCATGTCTTACCACCCATATCCTTGATCTCCTTAAGAGGCTGGAAAACACCTACTTGACATGATTGATGAAGACTGTAATCTCATGTATTGCATCTTATCCTATGTATGCTACTGCTGCTGGTACTATGTGGAGGGGAGTTGCTGTCATTGCTGTTGTTTACTTTCACTGTTTCCTGAAATGAAAACTTAATACCACCTGGAAAATCACCTTTTTACGATCTGGCCTGTTAACTTCCACTGCATAAGTTGTTGCAGCTTCATGTTGCAAGGGCAATATGAAAATATTCTAAGTTAAGTGTACCTGGGCTCTTCTGTCTCCACCATCATCCTGTTTGCATGTGGTGGCCAGAAATGCCTGGGTGTCTGAGCACCTGCCTGTCAGGGCATACAGATTTTATCTTTTTTGCCCCTATCAGAGGAAAGAGGGGATACCCTCTAGTAAAGAGGCAGACTAGTTGTGCAGCTATATTGTGCAGAAGGCAGCAAGCTAGGAGACTAAAGTAGACTTTGCCGGGTCTCTGTGGTAGTGTGCCACCAAATGGATGGAGATGGTCACCATGTTTTCTGAATGCTTATGACTCTCTCCCAGTTAACCTGGTACATGACTTTGTGGTCATGCTTATAACACAACCGATTATCACTGTGATGAGCTGATAGCAGTAGTTGGCAGGGGTCAGCAAGGAAAAAACAAATGGGAGGCAGTGGGGCGACTGCATTGAGAGTCTGTGTTGCAGGAACACCTGTGAAAAATAGCAAAGTACCACATTTATTCAAGTATTGTTACTTCAACCACATTGTTCGTGCTACAATATAAGACAAGTTTCTCCCTGTGGCCTGTCCGCCAGCCCCCCCCGCAAGTCAGCATGGGGGGAGAGAGAAGCTCTTCATTTTATAATTGCATACAAGGAAACCATATTAAATACATTTCTGTTGTTAAACTGCCATCCAAAAGTAGCATGTGCTCTGTAATAGAAACTAACAATGAAGTTGATTAAAATGTAGCCATCACTGAGCATGATTATAAAACACATGGCCCATAATGGGCAATAGGAACTTCTGAGGGGCTACACATAACCCCTCTCCCCCCCCCCCAAAAAAAGCCCCCAAACAAACCCCAAAACAAAAAATCAAAAACACCCCAGCACTTGCTTCCCATAGGAGAGAGTGAGCAGTAGGCCTTAAGTTACTGCAACACTAGGCCAGCACTTGAAGAGGCCAGAGCAAGCTCTGACACCCTTCCCTTGGCCCAAAATGCTAGTAGTAACCCCCTTTTTTTTTTTTAAGGAAAAATTTTCGCGTCCCAAGTCAAATCAGCCAAATCAGTTCCAAATCCGTGTAAGTCATTTGAGAACCATATGTGCTCTTACTACCAGCAAGCATCCTCCATCCCTGCCTGGAGCTTCAGATGCTTCCAAATCCTTTGGTGGGCATCCTGTGTGCAGGCCCAAGCCCAGAGGCTTGGGGTTCGGAGGTCCCCAAGTTTCGCTTGCTCTCAGCTGTATGGTCACAGGAGCAAGCTAGGGAGGAGTCTCCGACTTCCATAAAGTCAGTGTATAGCTGAGATCTTCCCAGTGGAAGTGGGAAGCTAACTATGCATTATCGCGGTCATGATACTACCTCTTGCTACATCCATGGTTTTCCCCAGCCAGTAGGAAAACCACATTTGTGGTCATGGTAGTTATCGTGCTAGGTGGTAGTGATCTAACACAAGGATAAGATAGTGGAGCCCATCTAAATAATATATATGGTAGTATCCATTGTGTGCAGCCCCCTTCAGTGCAGACTTTAACTCATGGTGAGCTACTACATTGTAGACCTCTTCACTCTCACAGCTAAGTTGCACCTTTCCCAGTTCCAATGATTCCTGTTTCTTCACCAGCCTGAAATGTCTGTCAGACATCACCAGCGGGCCCCCAAACAGTTCACCCAGAATCCTGCTGTCACACCTTCTCTGAGCCTGTTATATGATTAGTGCGATCCAGCTCTCTATGAGATGGAACTAGACCGAGTTTTCCTGAACTACTTCTGCATATAATTTTTTTCAGAGGATCCTCAGACCCGTGACAAGGAACACTCAGTTCCAAGTCATGAGTTGTGGGGGTGGGTGTTGCTAATTAGCACATGAAGCTGGGGAGGGGGTGTATATGGACTACATACATATACTGAGCACTCCTGTGGCCCAGCCCAATGAGCTTTGCAGTAAATCATGAGCCTTTTGGCTTTGATTGTGTGTAGTCGCTTCTCGGCCGCTTGTGGGCTCAGATCAAGTGTATGTTTTATAAGTAAGTACAAAAATGCTGCTTAAAAGTAAGTTTGTGGAATAGCTGTGCTAAAATTTGTATCAGTATCAAAAAGTGGGGGGGAATAAAAATGTCAGTTCAACCATCAGTATTTGCAAATTTGCCCTGCGCTTCCATGTGCTCAGGAGGGAGAACAGGGTCTGAGAGTGTGTTGGCGTGAGGGTGGGGAGGATGAAGGGGCTGCAGGGGAAGAAGTTGGTGGGACAGAAGGTAAGGGAAGCCATCTGATCCACCATATTTATTTTACCCTGCTGTAACAGTAGGAGGGGAACAAAATCAGGGCAAATCTCCAATAATTAGATTTTATACTTGAGAAATGATAGCAAAAGTACAAATTTTCCGTATATAGAATCTAATTCTTGGGGGGTTGTCTTATAATCATGGTCACCTTATTTAAATAAATATGGTACTACTGGTTGGGCTGAGTTTATGCCTGTTCATTTTGTTGTGGTGTATGACCTTAAACAGCTAGCAGTAAACATAAATGAATTAGGATAGTAATGAGGCCTGGACACTACCTGCATGCCTAGCAGGCGTAACAGCACATGCAGTAAGCATCCAAATGGAGTCAAAACAATTCTTTTAGGCTAAGTTGCAACCATGTAGTAGATAAAATAGTTAGGTGCTGTTTTGAGGGATCTGGAACTGCAGCTTAGGATCTCTGTAAGCAGACCAAGAGCTAAGAACCATGGAAGTACTGGTGCAAAGATGTCTTGGCAGGCAGATTGGGATCTTCAGTGGTGCATTTCAAAACCTTTTTCACGTGTTAGGTTTCACAGAGTTCTGTGGGGTAGATGAACATTATTTAATTTTACTGAAGGAAGAAGTTGAGGCACAAATGAAGTGACTTGTTTAAAGGCACAGAGCAGAAATGTCTGTGCTAAGAAGTCGTACCAGATTCTCTGCTGTTACCTTGGACCAGTCTTCTCATTCCCAAAATTTAAATAAGTAAAAGTTAAAAATAAAACCCGGAAGATAGGACTTCTCAACATTGATACGAGAAATACTATCACATTCTATGATGCCTGATGCTTAGTTAAATATAATTTGAGCAGAAATTTTAGGTTGGCTTTGTTTTTTGTTGCTGTTTTTTCTCTCTCAGTTGAAGACAATGTATTAAAGTACACTGCTTCTTTTTAAGTCTTTTTTTTATATTATTATTTTTTCAGGTTGAAGATGAGGATGATATTGAATCTGGAGACCAAGGTGATGAAGATGAAGATGAGGATGGAGAAGAGGAAGAGCAAGATGAATAGTGCTTTAGTATTTCACCATCAGAAAACTAGAGATTGCATTAATATGAAAATAAACTAATGCTGTTGGCCTACAAACAACAGCTACGTTATTTAAGAAAGCAGGTGGGAAAATAACTACAGGACTAGTTCCAAGATACTGAAGGAAAGCGTGGGAAATCTTCATTATAGCTGAAATTTAACATCACTTAAAATTATACATAAGCATCCCAAATTGGAAGAATTTAGAAGCTGCTTTAGACGCTGTTTAAAGCACAGGGGTAACAATGCTACTGCCTTAGTTCATTGTCATTTACAGAAGTTCTGTGCATTTGTCTACATTTTACTTTCTTTTGGAACTCTTAACATAATTAAATACATATGTATTTGGTTTAACATTTGTTGGATGGAATCGTTGCTTCTGCATTCAGCAGGGAGCTCATCATCATAACTCGTGGCTTTTGTTAAGTTAAATGGCTATGTTGAAGGGGCAGGGTGGGTGCATCTGGTATTGTACACACCATTGGCTACCTGTTGAACTGACTTTAAAAATGAATGGAAGTGTACAGTGTAGAGTGCCTTGACACCTGAACTAGCTGCATTCTGTACCTCATTGAAGAAACTCAAGGAAATTGCAGCATTAAGCTGACAGCATGGAGGAGGTTTCATGGAAATCTGCAACAGTGTGGTAGCATTTTTAAGCTGAACGTCTTTGCTTTGTTTTTTGGTTTTCTCTTTTTAAAGCATAAGAGATTTAATGTACTACCAGGTCATCATATAAAAACAAATCTGAATATTTGAGTCAGAAGAAAACACATCTGTGATTTATATAATTTATTGGCTCGTTTGCCGAACAGAGATAAAAGATCAGATTTTAAAAAAAATCAAAATGATTACACTTAATGCATCAATTCATGTTTTGGTAATAAAAATAGTTATGATGTTCATTTAATTTTGTTGTCCAGTTTCAGTTAAGTGTATTTAATTACTCATTTATATTTGAATCAGAGCTACTTAAACATCAAAACTGGTTAAATTAAGAGGATGCTATCAAATGGTATTGGACTCAGATCTCATCAAACGAACTTGCCCATAGAGGGCGGGGGAGGTTCAGTTGTCATTCTTTTGACTTTACAGAATGAAAGTGTTACTGAATTTCCTCCAAGGTGTTTTTGGAGTCCCCAGCAATATGTCTTAAACTAGCCAGGTACGATTTTGGCTAGTGAATTCAATGCTGGTTGTTTGATAAATTAGTTTAAATATTCTTTTTCATTTGTTGATTACATAGTGAGCATAGGAGTAACAGCTGATGAAAGGGCTGAGTTGAAATGTTCCTAACTTATAATGAGTTAAAGTAAGATCTGTTTCTTCAGTTAGCCTATGCATAAAATTGACTGAAATCAGTGGAGGAGGAAGAGAGGGATCCAAGTCTGTGGCAGTCAAATTTAGGATTTGGGGGCTGTATTGATAAAGGAGAGCAGCTCTGAAAGGTTTTCTTGTTCATATCAGGCTTGTAGCTTCGTATAATCAACAGGCTAGGTATGTAGTGGGCCTACAGTGTAAAACAAATTCTATATAATACTCCACCACAATGTTTAGTAAACAACTGTTTTCATTTCTTGGGGAATATTTTCCCTTTGGGCTGTGATTGGTCAGCTTGATTCATATTTAAGTGATGCACAGTGGCCAAGCTTGATTTTGGTTGATAGACAAGTATGCAAGAAGTCACTTTCTAAATGTACACGGTGTAACATATGTGGATAAAGCCATTGAGAGAGCTTGCATGTGACCAGGTAATGATAGTTTGGTGCCAAGCAGAAATCAAAGGCTGGGATTCAAAGGAAGGATGAGGGTCAGGGACAGCTTGAATGAAATTGAATAAAAATACATGAGAAAAAGAAACAAACTTGAGCAATAGCAAAAACTAATCATAAATAATCTGCTGTTAGTTATGTCAGAGGATTTGAGTGCAACATCAAATTAAAAATGCCTTGTAAAGCATGTGTGACAGGGTGGCTTGTGCACCTTTCCCTTTAAGAGGGCAAGCTGCCTAATAGGTGGCAAAGGGGCCTGATTGGAGAGTCACCTGACCAGCAGGGGGCCTGGCTGGACCTATGTAAACCCAAGGCCTCATCTGACCAGGCAGTCTAGCCCTGGCAGCCATGAAGTGAGGAGCTCCTGGCAGCAGAGCTCCTAAATTGATAGTGGAACTGAGTAAGTCTGCTGTCTCCAGATATCTACTTTTCCAAATTTGCCCACAAATAGGTGGTTTTTTTCTATGCCAAAAAACAACAAAACAAGACAACAAAACTCACACCTTGATGACCATATTTGGTCCTCTGGGTCACTAGTGTAACTTACTTCCAAGAAAAGCCACTCTTATTCTGATGTTAGTTCATCTGAGAAGAGTTAAAGCAATATACAAATAAAACTGAAAAATCTGTGTAGGCAAGCTCAGGGTGTTGGACAGAGTGGCCAGCTGTAGACTGTTGCAATGTGGCCTGAGGGTTAGGCCAATACCAGAGAGATAACATGATCTTTTGAAATATATGAAAATGACCTTCAGGAAAGACACATTTGTAGTTGAAAATGAGGAGTTGGAAGTAAGTTATGCTGCAGTGGCCCAGAGGTGTATTGTATCTGATTCATTAGACTGCTTAGAAATACACGGTTGCATATCCTCAAATGTAGAGCTATGCTAGAGAAAACCTGCCATCCTTGTTTGGTTTAAAATAAGCTGAATACTTTTGTAAAAGTTCTTTTCTTTTTGGCAAGCGTTCACACTTGATTGAGAAAAGAAGGTGCAAAACTTACCAAGAACTCCATTATCACAGAGAAGGCTTTAAATTTGACACAAATGTTAGAAAACCTTCAATTCTTTTGGTGGTCAAGGAACATATCACGTCTGTTGCTCTAGTTGGCAGCCAGTATCAAGCATAGTGTCCCAAGAGTTAGTCTTGTGGCTAGTTTTGTTCAGCATCTTCATCAGTGACCTGGAAGATGGGATGGAGTGTACCCTCAGCAAGTTTTCAGATGACACCAAGCTGTGGGGAAGTAGTAAATATGCTGGAGGTTAGGGCTAAGATTTGGATAGACCTAGATGAGTTGGAGGATTGGACAAACATTTTTTCATAAAGTTCAATAAGAACAAGGGCAAAGTCCTGCACTTAATACTGAAAAATCCCATGCACCAGTATAGGCTGGGGACCAATTGGCAAAGCAGCAGCTCTGTAGAAAAGGACCAGGGCAGTTACAGTGGACAATACACTGCATATGAGCCAACTGTGTGCCCTTATTGTGAAGAAGGCTAACAGCATACTGGGTTGCATTAATAGAAGCATTGCCAGCAGATCAAGGGAAGTGAGTATTCCCTTCTGTTAAGCACCTGTGAGGCCACATCTGGAGTACTGTGTCAGTTGTGGCCCCCCACTAACAGAAAGGATTTGGACGAATTGGAGAGAGTTCAGAGAGCAACAACAATGGTAGGGACCTGGGGCATATGACTTCTGAGGAGAAGCTGAGAGAACTGTGCTTATTTAGAGTGGGGAAGGGAAGGCTGAGGGGATTTAATAGCAGCCTTCAATTACCTGAAGGGGTGTTCAAAAGATAGAGCTGGACTGTTCTCAGTAGTGGCAGATAACAGAACAAGGAGCAATGGTCTCGAGTTGCACCAAGGGAAGTTTAGATATCAGGAAAAACTTTCTTACCAGGAGGGTAGTAAGGCAGTGAAACAGGTTACCTAGAGAGGCTGTAGACTCTCTATCCTTAGAGATTTTTAAATCCTGGGTAGACAAAGCCTTGGCTGAGATGATCTAGTTGGGATGTTCCTGCTTTGAGCAGGGGGTTGAACTAGGTAACCTCCTGAAGTTCTTTCCAGCCCTAATTTTCTATGATTCTGTGACTGTATCCACTTTGAATGCCTCTTCTCTGCTGCTTTTCCCCCAGTTTGGAAGTCTTCATGCAAAGAAACAGTGGGATCTGGTGTGGATTCATTTGGTGGCATGCTTGTCCAACAGGAAGAGGCAAGGATTATCTCGCTAGGGCTCTGGAAAGCTTTGCATGAATTCTATTAATGTGAGTATAGATCGGGGCTGGCAATTATTTCCACAGGCAGGCCACTTGAGTTTTGGAGAGCTGTTGAGGGCTGCAAGGATAGCCCTGCCTCTTGAAAAGTGCCCGGCCCCCAGTCTCCATCTTGGGACCAGAAGTCCCACCCCACTGACCCCCTGACCTTTGCCACCAGAAGTCCACTCCCTTTCCCCCCCATAAGTACTCCTTTTGGAAAGGGAGTTTGCCATCTTGGAATTGGAAAAAAAAAAACAACAAATAGAAGATGTTAAGAGTCATGAAACAAAAGTGACAAAGCCATAAGGAAAATAGAGTGCCTGAGCGAGGGACTAACATAAGAGGGATGAGGGTGAGGAGGGGAACGCAACCAGGTTACAGAAAATACAGTGTTAATAAACTAAGCCTGGGGGTAGGGAAGAGGAGTGGGAGGGGAGGAGGTTATGACACTGAGGGAGAAAGAAGATAGATGCAAACAAACCATTACAATAGTCCACAGTGGTGGAGGGGGTAGATTGAAGAAGTTACTCAGTCCATAGAGTCCTATTGCAGGGGTCCTTGCCAGGTGGACTGGAGTGGTCCATGGTTGAAGAGCAGCTCTCAGAGCCCATCCCAGGTGGTCACCGGTTGGTCTGGTCCAGTGGTGGTTGGTCTGGTGGGGTTGATGTATTGGCGCTGGCCCGTGATGTCCCATGACATCTACATCGAGGACCCCAGTGGATGATGTCAGACACCACAAGGTGCCACATCAGCTTGGTGTAGTGGCAGGAGATGCAGCAGGCACGCAGGACGCTCCCATTGCTGGGGTCCCAGGCTCCAAGCATTCCCACGATGAGCATGTTGACTGCTGCGTCATAGCCACGGCACCTCAGGATGTTGGCCAGTGGGGCTTACTTCTCCTGTTTGCGAGCCTGGGCGTCGGTGAAGGCTTGGCACTGGTTCTCAAAGGGGATAGTGATGTCCACAATCATGATTTTCTTGGCCTCCTCATGGTTGATGAGTATGTTGGTGCACATCTGGCTCTCGCTGCCTAGGATGGCACAGTTTGTGGAGATGTCCCCTGCTGTGCCTGGGATGGCCTTCACCAGGCGGTCCTGGACAGCACTGTGGCAGAGCTGCCAGGCTCTGGTGTGTGGCCTGCAGCTGCACAGCACACAGGGGAGGGTCTCTGCCTCGTAGCCACACCAAGGGCACTTCTTGTCCTGGTGGCCAAAGTAGATGGCCCCATTCAGAGGCAGGCAATTGGGGCTGGCACAGTGGAGGAAGTGCTTGTCTGTGAAGCGTGTGAAGCTCCTGCTGGGCATGAAGTGGTTGCTGGAGTCCTACTTTGAGGTGACATTGAAGACCTTGCCCTGGTTGGGTTTGGCACTCGGGTCGCTTGTGTACTTGTTATGGATGGTGTCCTTCAGGAACTGTTCCAGGAAGGTCTTCATGCGGAGCATCACGGTGACACGGTTGGTGTGCATGGCTGGCAGCAGTGGGACTCCCAGCTTCTGGTGCTTTTTGGTCCAGGTGCAGTTGATGCACTGCCCGAGGTGGCGTTTGGCATTGCAGGGTTGGCTCCACAGCAAGGCAAAGTCCCCACCATCTCTGCTGAACTCTGCCTCCAGTGAGCTGCTGAGGAAGGTGGCTAGGTCACGTCCGGTGGGTTGCCTCACAATCCTCTTGTGGGTGGTCGTCTTGATGGTGCTGGCAGCAATGATATTTACCATCAGGTGCAGGCAGGTCAAGAGGCGGTAGGCATGGGTGACCCCTGTGATGTAGGAGCAGTCCCCCATGCAGGGGACGTTGGTGCCTCCCTGCCAGTAGGGGACATGCAGGATCTCATTGCTGGCCCTCAGCGGCAGGTGCAGCCGCTTCTTCAGCAGCTGTCAGATCTCGGCATCC